TCTCTGTCTCTGTCTGTGTCTGTCTCTCTCTCTCTCTCTCTCTCTCTCTCTCTCTCTCTCGGGTTTCAAGCAGTTCACAGACGGCCTGATATCCCACGATCGTGGGAGAACCCGTCTGCTGTGAATGAATGTCATCGTGACTGCGCGTGACGTGGAGCAGTGTCATCGTCGTGACTTTATGCTGGGGTTTTGGCTGTGGCTTCGATGGCTTGCCGTGGGCCCCAGCCTGGAACTCCCTTTCGCCAAGGTGTCGTCCCAATCCTGGTCAACTGCTGTTCAGCTGTTAAGGTGGGAAAGGGACATGTCGTCATCAATGGCCCGCCGAGTACCAAATATCCTTTTGAAATTTTGCTTGCCCCCAAAAAAAGGTTCCTGTGTACTTATGTTCGGGGTTAGAGTCAGAGCTTGAGGGCTTGATGGGTAAGGACTTTGGACGTGAGGTAGGGGGAGACGTTCGGACCGTGGCTTCGTGCTCAGGGAGTTGTAGATTCCTGATGCCGAACTTCGTCAACATGCGACGAATGAAGATGGAAGTGGATTTCACACATACTTCAGGTTGTTCCAGCACACGCATACTGCATGTAGGGGTTTGGTTGAATGATAAGAAGTATTGCAGTAGTATCATTCCGATCAAAACTGAAATCCTAGTTGGGGTATTCACATTAGAAGTCTGTTCTTGTAAGTAAGCCAACCTCGCAGTAAAAAGCTTCCCTACATTCATGAACTCGTCCGTTCATTTCGCCTACAGTGCTGAGCTTGTGAGTATAGCCTAGCTTGAATTTCAGGGTTTCGGAATCGGGTTTGGTTTGGGAGTCGAGAAGCCCACGCGGGCTTAAGTTGGGGTGCACAGCACACCTAGATTTAGAGCCCCTCCCGTCAAAAGACTGTACGAAACCAGGCACGAGCACGGCACAGTGGCTCGGGCTGTGTTGCTGCAAAGCTGCGAGGTCGCTTGCTCCAGTTGTCGTGTTAGCCAGAAAACGACCTGTGCAGGTAGGGCTCATGGCAGAATCGCCTAGTTCAGTGCGCAGCTCTCTGTATCTGGCCAGGTTTGGAAACTCTTATCCGGATGCTGTCTTGAGCGTCGTGTTGTTCTTGGAGCCATGTCTAACAAGGATCCGTCACGTTGGCCCGTTTGCCCAATGTGTAACGTGTTGCCAACGTGCTGTAGTGTCCCAATCCGGGTTTTGAGCACCAAGTCATCAGCATTGCTATTGCCTCTGACAGCGAGAAACATGGGACTCTGAGCCCTGGATACAAACAAGACCGAAATCCCGCCAAAAGAGCGCTTAGCCCTGGCAGCCTCTGAGCATCCTGAAGCGAAAGGGTGACTGGAGCGAAAATGCAGAATAGGAGCAAAGAGGAGCCGGGAGATTGTAAGGGCAATGGGAAGAGCGATTGCAGGAGAGTAGAGGAAGCTTTCGCAGGTCTCCTGTGCCTGGGCTCTGGTTCTGCCGCTGCTGGCTGCGGCACAGGCAGCATTGCCAGCATACTTTATCGGATTCAGGGGACAAGAGAAACCGGACAGAGCTTAGATGAAGTCTTGAGTACCTTGGAACAGCCATCCATAAACCCTCAAGAAGCAGAAACAGAAGTATTGCTGTAGACCAGGCTTCGGCTGTGGCCGCCACCACGGCCATGGCTGCATTGCCCTGGGCACCTGCTCTCGCGGCGCAAGGCGCTCGGAACCGTCAAAGCAATGGAGTTGTTGTAACTGTGGTTCGCGACCCAAGCCCTGAAAATTCAAACTAAACCCCTAAAACCTCAAACCCCAAACCGCTGACTCACCCCTCGGCTCTCAGACGGGAAACCTCATACCGTCATGCCGTTTTCCAAACGCTCGTACGTTCAAGATCCCAGGTTCCGAAACCTGCAGCGCGAGCAGGTCACAGCCGGGGCATTGCTGCAAAGGGCTCAGCACAGTTTCTGGATCCAGACTCTTGTCTGACTTGATGAGGCAGGCTCCTATGTCAGGATGCGCATGGACGAAACCATTGACTCTTTTTTCAGAATCATTGATGACCTTGGTTGGGCATCTGGAACTCTCACCCCGGTCCTGAGCTTGACACTTGAATCTCGTACCCGAAGCCGTTTGAGTTGCAAGAAGTTTCTGCAGCACATGCATCGAAGCCGGCTTCAGTGTCTCGCCCACGAGAGTCTGCGGCCGCAGACTGGGCATCTGCTGTCAGACTTTATGATACACATGCACTAAGCCCCCATGCCTCCTTGATGATCAGCCCTTGCAGGCAATGCAGTCGGACACATGTTGAGGTAAGGTAAGGGGCATATCAAGGCTCTTCGTTCAAGCTGCCATGTTGGCCACCGATGCTGCCACTCTGCTGCCAAAAGCACAGGCCTTCATGGCCCAAATGCATGCAAGCAATTTGGAGTTGAAGCGCGAGATACTGCGCTTCAAGACGCTGAACACAGCCCTGCAGCATGCCATCGACGGCCAGTTGCAAAGGCTCCCGGAGCTGCAGTTGGCTGGTGGCATGGGAGCGCCCGCGCGTCTGGCCCAGGCCTGCGGTGCTCTGAAGACCAGAGCCCAAGAGCTTGAGGATCAGATCGCAGAAAAGCGTGAGAGAAAGCGCCGCATGCAGCGGGAGCTGGCAGAGAGGAAGGCCAAGCTGAGAGTTGCCCCGTCGACCACGCCTGCCAAGCTGAACAGCAGTCCACTCAAGGTGACGCCGGAATCTGGGACGTGCAGCGGCGGCGGCAACAGCGGCCTAAGTCATATCAGTCGCAAGGAAGCAGCGCTGCTTCTGCAGCAGGAACTCTTCCGGAAGAGATTCTTGCTAAGACGGGACTACGTAGGGCCCCATGCCTGATTCTTTTTCCAGATCGACGTCAGACTTGCCACCGGCTTCTGGAAAACATGGGCTTTGCATGAACTTCTCGATCTAACCCGGAGCGATTCGAATCCCAGGCAGCCGTGCAGGCATCCAACAAAAAGCACCCGAAAGCGAATACCCGAGGCCTGAGTTACACTGAACGGTGCTCCACATTGAGTGCCTGACCGTCTGCTGGACATCCTAATATTCAATAGTCCTAATATGGCCTTGTTGAATAGCTACGTCTTTCCTGCACCAGGCCCAGTCCGCCACAGTGTCGTACACAACTTAAACCTGATTTTGCTATCCGGTCGTACCCGGAACAACTCCACTTAGTTTGGCTTCGAACCTGGATGAACCTCACCCAGAGAAACCTGCAAAGCTTCACCCACGGAAATCCTGCAGCCGTAACGAGCAGCTTCATGAGGTACACCGCGCTGGCGTCTTCTAGCCCCGCTCGTTGGGCGTACCTGCTTCTCCAGGCTGCCTGAATGTCGAAAACCATCGAGCCTGCGACCTTAGTAGCGAAGTCAGAAGTTAGCTTGGGAACACGAGCACCCGCTGAAGGCCGCGTAAGAGGCCCTGGAGCTGCCCCAAGAGAAAACGAGGCCTCCCCAAAATAGACCCCCCCCCCCTCCTCTGCCTCCCCGCAACTTTGGGAGCCGCCAGGAGATGCGGAGCCGGGCCCTGGAGCCCAACTTGGCTTGGGCCCGGGAAGTCCTTTGCTTTGGCTTCTGGGATCAGGAAATGAAGGTCTTCAGGGTTTAGGAATGAGAAGGCGGGAGAAGTGGGGTTTTAGTAACGGAGTTTTATTGGGTTCAGGGTGGTCGCGGCGCAGGTTGAGGATCTGCGACTACGAGTGCTCTGTAAGATTCCAGTAGTACAGGGACAGGTGACGCGAGTCAGACCAAGCCCTGCTTCCTTGCTCGGACCTCAAGATCTTAGCTGGAGTTGCATTGGTGCTAACCTTGACGATTCAAATTTTGGGTTGTTGTTTCTGCGCTGGGGCTGCGGAGCACGCATGCTGCGTATGCTGCGTGAGAGACAAGTCCGAAGCTGACCGGAAGAATACCGAGGAAAATGTAAAGCCTCCAGAACCTTCGCCCTAAAATCCCAAGCCCTGGAAGTGTCCAAAACCCTGGGCCCTGAAGCCTAGAAGTGCGTCACCGCATGCCACTGAATGCTCGCCGCTCGGAAACGGGGGGAGGGTGCAAGATGTATGGTAAGCACCTTGATGCCCATCTGAAGAGAGGTCGTTTTGGCAGCGGCTGCCGCGATTCCTTCAGGCCGCCTGCCGCCCGAAGGTTCATGAGTCATACTGTACTGTAGCTCGGACCAAAGGGTACCTTTTCTACGAGAGCTTACAGTCCTCGCAGGCTCGAAACTCCATAGACCCTCCAGCCAAAGCCGTGCCCTCCCCAGTGGAGAGCTCAGGCCAGGCATAGCTCTACAATGTCCCCGAGACCACAGAAGCCTTAAAGCTTCAAGCTCATAATCCGAGCAGTTTGCGGTCATATTGTTTTCAGAGGTTATGAAGACACGGCTAGTACTTCAGAACAAACACAATGATGGCATACACATGGCCAGAGTAGAAGCTACAAGCATGGTGTCATGATGGTAATACTGGGGCTTGTACTAGTTTCAGACGATACTGGGGCTTGTACTAGTTTCATAGCTAGCAACAGGCATTGGCTTTTTGACGATGATACTGCTGATCTTACCAGACGAGCAAGAAACATGGTCAGAGCGGTAAAGGTCCCTGTAGACTCCTCGAGAGCTGCCGCAAGAGGCTCAGCTGACGGACACGACCTGCAGGGCACCCAGGAATCAAAGCTGTCAGGGTATGGGGTCGCCTGTCGTGCGATGTGGTAGATGGCCTTGTTGCCAAGAATAGGCAAGCATTGTGCCCCGACAGCCTGCTTCATCCACTTCAGTCATACTGGCCGGGCCCTCCTACTAAGCGCAAGATGCGGAAGCTCCCGAAGCAAGTCGCGAAACTCTCAAAGCCGAAATCACCAAGGCCTCAACACCTGCTAAAGCGGAGGCCTGCAAACCTCTGCATCAGATGAGCCATTCGTGAGGTGCGAGCTATTGCCTTGGCTCGAGAGCTCTGCCGCGCAGCTTCTGCACGGAAATTGCGCGGGCAAGAAAACAAGGGGTGCAGGGTTTCAGGTTGTGTCCATTGTACTCTGGTCGAAGCTTTTGAACTGAGGCTTGTAGTTTTCCCAGTCAAGAAGGAAACAAACAACGGATGAACATCGTGAAGATGGCATGGAATTTCCCTACCCTTCACCGCTATGTTCATTCGTGCAGTGGGCTCGCGGCACATGAGCAGTGGCCCATCACTCAAGTTCGTAAGTGTCTAGTTGTTAACCGTCAACGAGCAACCGGGTTAAAACATGACGACACACGACTGGCGATTGCTATCCTAGTCTCTGCGATGTGTCTACAAAAACTAGCTACTAGCAGTCATTGTAGGTCAAGCTCGTGCTGTCTTTGGCTGGGGTATGCTTTAGGTGCGCAACGTGCGTATGGCACACACGTGTGGGTGTGCAGTGTATTGTATTGTAGTGTAGTGTAGTGTAGTGAAGCGTAGTGTCGTGTAGTGTAGTGTAGTGGCATGGCCTGGCATGGCATGCATGTATGTACGTACGTACATTGCATACATACATACCACTAACAAGCACTTGTTCTGCTTTTATGTCTGTCTTTTTGCTTGCATATATGCATGCATGTACCTCTGGGCTTTCGCATCTAACTGTCTTCTTGGCGGCATCGGTTGGGCACCACGATCAATGGTTGAGCGCCAGATATTCGCAACAGGAGCACCAAACTGGTAGATTCCCGAATCATGGTCCCTTCGCGTAGCCACTGGAAAAATGCATTCCCTGGGGCAACTCACCTGCGTTTTTGGGCTGCATGATGACATCTAGCGAGCTGCGCTTGAGCGCCCAGCATCTGGGCAAATGCTGAAGCTTCGGATCAAGATGTCTGAGAGCCCATTGGACGCTGTGTTGCAGCGCTTTTGGCGTCTATGTTGTGTGAAATTCTCTCCCCGAGGTAGACAGCAACACAACTAGACATCCAGTGTTTGCATCCACTGGCAAACCGCGATGAATTCTGCGAAATCTCCCAACCCAGGCCCGAATCCCTAAACCCTAATCCATGGCCCCAATGCTCGTGAAAAGCCTATATCGCCCGGAAAGCTGGAAGAGATACTGTATAAAGGAAACCTAAGCCCATCGAGCGCCACACGCTCTCAGAGATCTGGATTTTGCGGTGGCTGGCTCAAGCGCAAATACATACGATCGCTGTAGAACTATAGGCTAGAAATCACACTCATCGTGGGTGTGCAAGTTTTGTAGTGCCAGTCCCACCTTGCTGTGAACTTTGACACCAATGGCTGGCTAGGGCCCGCGGGAGGCTAGACAACACACACACACACACCCCACACCGCAGCAGTAATCAACACAGCACTTATCAGTCACAATGACAGTCAGAGTCACAGCCTCAGCTGGCTGAATACAGCCATGAAGCTGTAAGTGGTCCAAGCAGGCTGCCTCGGCAGAAACGCCAAAGATTAACAGTCGCTCTAGATTTTCGATATCAGGGTCAGTGCCGCACTGTACCAGCAAAATGGGCGCGTCCTGCAGCTGCATCTCGGCAATGCTTGGCAAAGATGCTGGCGTTCCAAACGTGTACTGTAGCATAGCAGTGGGCGTGAGAAACTACAACCTAGTCATGACGAAGCGATGATAGCATTGTGAATCGCAGCAAAAGTTTCCCTCAGCCACGGTCCCCCAGGCCTCGAGCTACAAATCCTCAAAGTGCAAGGTAGTTGTGAGCAAGACCTGCAAAAGCATCACAGTTGAGTTCATGCCTACGACGTTTAACAGTCCTGCATCCATACTCACACGAAGGAGAGTGCTATATTCCATATCACAAACACAGAAGATGTCAAGGACCATTACAAAACCACTAGTATCCAAACTACATCGATCGATATTCCAAACTATATCAATCGATATTCCTGCAATTTATACTCCATAAGTCCATAATAATGACAAGAAAACCAATAGCTTTCAATCACTTTGACAATGCAACAACAACCACATGCAGTATTTCCAACCCAGTATTGCAGGGACCGAGACATCCTTGAAAAGGAACCGGTGCATCTGCCTTGCAGGAGTTGTTACACTTATTGCTAACATTGTTTGGGAAATTTCCTAGACATACATTCTATTGAACAGTACAGTATAACATTGATATACGCGCTCAGTATCAATCTACAGTCTTGCCTTTTTTTCTTAAAGCTCGCTGGAGGCCCCCAGACCACCTGTCGGGGTGACAAAACTATCTTGCAGCGTACCCTGCGTACACCATGATCTATGTCTGTATAGCTCAATCAAAGAGAAGGTAGGGGAGAGAGAGAGAGAGAGACACCCGCCCCCTACGCCTTGGGGAAGAAGAGAGAGAGAGAGAGAGTCGAGGCCAAGGGCTGCTTGATGAGCTACGTCGGGAAAGACTACCCGGAAAAGATCGGAGTGAAAGGCACCAAGGCTACCAGCACCCCTGCCAAGAACCGATTGACTACTTTGCGATGCTGCATACCGAAGGCCGGGCTGGATCAAGGAGCCTGGGACAATGTGGTCAAGGACCCCAAACAAACCCTATCAGATCTCCTGGGCGGCCGATTGCACACCACCTATGGCTGGGAGCTGAGAAACATGGAATCCCGGGGAGGACGACGTGACGTCTTTTACCAAGGCTACTGCAGGGTGATCCTGACGGCCAAGGATGAGGTCTGGGGATGAGTGGAGCCAGAGGTCACTTTTTCGAGGAGCTGGCCAAGGATACAAGCGAAAAGCAGCCAGTGAGGTGGGAGGCCCCGACTGAGTGTGAAACTGTGGCCTCTCATTTCGCCAGGCTGCGAGAGGATGCTGCTCAAGCCGGGCGATCTTTGGCTTGGCGCAAGGGAGGTGGGAGCTGCCTTGGCATTCGCCTCGCAAGCCGTGCCGATTTTCCCCATTGTTGCTGGGAATTACATTTGGAGTGGCTTGCCAACCACCTGGCGAGACACAGATGTGGCCACCTTCTTTGAGAGCGGTGGCTGGAGTCAGGTGCAAGTTTTGAGTCGACCAGGATGCCGAGCAGGAAATGGATGGCGAATTTACGCCACCCCTCCTTCGAGTGACCTGGCTCATTTTATCCAAGGAGATGTTGTCACGGCCACCCGTTGTACAGGAAACAGACGGCCGGTGAATGAGATCAGAGAGCGCTGGAAGCCGAACGAAGGTTACGCCTCTGGCAACATTTTTGGTCGTGGTTTCGGGCCTCTCAAAACGAGTTCTCCCACCATCGACGAGGACATGGAGATTGACGCTGAGGAGCCCAACGGCGAGGACGTGGCGATGAATGAGGAAATGGGAGCGGAGGCTAGCACTGGAAAGAGGACTGCTCCTGCTGACGGCAAAACCGAGGGCAGCAAGGAGAAGGCCCAGCCCAAGAAGACCAAGACGGAGGACATTGATCCTTGGACTAGTTGGTCTTCTGCTTATCCTTTGCTCGACTTCCAGAGAGGCGGATGCACTTGCCCGGGCCCAGGCCCCTGGGCAGCAGACCTTCTATGGGAAACAACCCAGGGTCCCTGATGCATCTACCGCGGCTACTTCCAAGGGTAAGGGCAAAGGCAAGCACACTGGCCCACCTCCTGGCAAAGGTGGTGGCAAAGCTTCCCTCGGCGGCAAAGCGGAGCGCACGGGAAAATGCGTGGGAACTTCGAGCCCACCTTCGATCTGGGCAAGATCCTCGTGGCGAACAACCTGCCAGACGAAGGTGGGGAAACCAAGAGCCATGGAAATTGGACACCACTGTGGTGAAGGCCTGCACCGCGAAGGCTGCCAGTGCTTTCTTGAGCAAGTCTGAGGATGCAACCGGCTGGAGGTGGGATGTCGTCGTTGCCTCATCACCGGAGCAGGTCGTGCAAGTGCAGCAGCAGGCGCAGCTGGCGGGGGTCAAGAAGCATGTCGCCATCCTCCTGGAGTTTCGTGGGCCTTCGGATGATGTGGTCAAGGACTACCCGAATGCCTCCCTCAGGTCATATCCTGCTGCCAAGGGCATCTGCAAGGATATTCAGCGCTGGTGGTGTGTTCCCCTTTCCAAGGACATGCCTGGAGCAATGGATTTTGTGCGGCGTTCCACTTTTCAGGCGCCCGAGAGGTCTTTGTCTTTGTTGAGGGCTGCGGTGCCTAAAGCGTTTCTGGACGAGACGGTGTGGTGCAACGTCCTCGCGGACCCTGACGACTACGTGAAAGGCAAGCTCGGCCAACTGCACTCAACCTTTAAATGGGAGACTGTTGCTGGGCCTGGCGATGCTAAGCGCAAAGGCAAGGAGATCGTGCTTCAAGGTCTCCTTCGCGTTCCCTCTGAGCTCGTGGAGGGGATCCTCGCTGTCAGTGGCAAGGGGGCTGTCTTCGTCTCTAAGCTGGCCAAGGACAGCCGTCAGGTGCAGTGGATTGAGCCTCCTGAAAGTTCCACTGGCATTGGCTACTACGAGCATGCCAAGGAGGAGGCTTCTCGAGTGGGGGGCCCGCTGGCCTTCAGGCGTGGTGGAGGGAAGTCTTTGGGCATTCACATTCCCGAAGGCACTGCTATGGCCCAGGCTATCACATGGCGACTTCGTGGAGTGCCCATGGGCTGGAGCAGCGACGACCTCCTTGCTGCTCTCCGTGGGGTCGGCATTGCCGGTGCGATTGATGTTCTGGACCAGTCCCCAGGAGGCCTTGGCTGGCGCGGATCACTCATCCCAAATGCACGGATGACAAGGCCTTCCATGAGGTGCCGCGAGCTTCAAAGGAGGGTTCTTTCTTCAAGCTGAGGTTTGAACGTTTGGCAGGAAAAACCCGCCAGAATCTCGAAAGCAGGGTTGTCGGTGGACCTCGCCAAGGCAAAGGGCGTGGCCGGCAACAATCCGATGCGATGGTCATGGAAGTCGATGAGGAAAGCCTTGACCACAGCAGCGACAAGGATGAGGGCGATGCTACCGCGCCTGCCGCCGAGGAGGCCCAAGACACTGAGATGAAGCCGGCGGAGGGTTCCTCTGATGGCAATGCGGCGGCTTCCAATTCTGACGGTGTTGCTCAAGCTGGCGTTCTCGCTCCCAACGGCACTGGTCAGGTGGGCAAGAAACAGCCTGCTGACACCAGCGGGGGCGCAGCAGCAAAGAGGGCCAAGGCCCCGGCCACGGCCAAGGACGAGGACTGGTGCTTTGTTACCGATTGTGGAGGCGACGGCTGTTGCTTCTACAATTGCTTTGCCGCCGCTTATGGCATGCAGAAGGACAAGCTCGGTTGGGGCGAGGTCTCTAAAGTTGTTCGTTCGAGGGGTCGCACTGTGCGTGGTGAGATCGCGGAGTTCATCGAAAAACGACAGGACAGATATCGCGATTACTTCGCTGTCGACGATGCCGACCTCGACGAGGAAACGCAGCAGCGACTTGAAGACGGATGTGCACCGACTACCTGGCCCGCTTACCTCAGCACTTTGTGGAGACCAAACCGGTAAGTCGACGAGCTGAGTTTCCGTGCCTGTTGCTGTCTTTATAGGCAGTGTTGCAAAGACAAGCCAGACGGTCGTCTACGGACAACGACAGGGCTCGTGCACTGCCTACCTGCTGTTCAAGGCTGGACACTACCAGCTCGTCCAGGCCAAGGCTGGTCGTGAGGTTCCTGCCTGGGTTCACGACTTGAAGGACAGTGAGGGTTTGGAGCACTTCCAGCGCGGCGGCGGACGTAGCCGTTCTGGCTCTTGCTCCTCTGGCGCTTCTGCGCGCAGCAAGAGAACTACAGTCTACAGCTCAAAGTGCTCCCCGAGGCTTCCGGCAAGGACGTTGCTCAGGCTTCTTGTTCAGGTGCCTCTGAGAAGGACGTTTGGGTTCCTAGTCCTTTTGCCTCGTCAGTTTGCAGCAAGAGAGGTTCAGTTCCTGGCAAGGCTCTCTCCAAAGTTTCAGGCAAGGACTCCGGTGTCGTTGACGAGGGCCTCGTTTGGGCTCCCAGCCCCTACGCCTCTTCAGTTTGCAGCAAGCGTGGGTCAGTTTCTTGCAAGGTGCTCTCCAAGGCTTCAAGCAAGGAGGTTGCTCAGGTCTCCGGTTCTGGTGCCTCTAAGACTCCAGTTTCCGGCTTTGTCAACCGGGGGCTCTACTAAGCGCAAGGCTCCTGAGGAAGATGCCGCTGAGGTGTCTTGGCCGTGTGAATTCTGTGGCTGGATTGCACGCGGCACAGCGCGTCAGGTCACATGTGCGAAGCACAAGCACATGCGTCAGCAGCACAAGGCCAGGTCTCGGAAGTTGCAGTGTCGGCTGGCAAGGGCGCTTGGCAGTGTGGCTTCTGTCGTGAAGTTTTACCTGCTCTTTCTGATGCTGTCAGGACTCGTTCGATTGCCAGGCATCTTGAGCAGTTCCACCCGGGACGCACTGTTGCTGAGGCCAACCGGGCTCTGTTTGGGGCTCTCGGGTGCGATGCAGATGGCCGCCGCACCGCCCAGGGACTCTCGCAGCATTGCATTGCTAGTTGCCGCAAGCAGGAAGATCTGATTCGTCAGCTCAACCATCGTGGACACGCCGTTCGTTACGTGCCCAAGCCAGCCGGTTCCAAACAGAACTCGTACTGGTTTTGCCAGCGTTGCCTCGTGGGCTGGCGCTGTGGTTCGAGCCTTAAAGCTGCTGTTGAGGCCGGTCGCTGCGAGGGTGAAGCTGCGAGGGTCCACGCTCTGACTTCTTACAGGTGTGCCAGCCTCTGGAAGGGTGCTTCAGTTGCTCGTCGGTGTGCTCTTGCCAGTGCCTGGAAGCTTGCTAACTGTGAGAGGCGCCGCCTCGCTCGTGCTGCTGCCAGTGTCAAGTTGCAGCACAAGGGCGCTAAAGCTTGGAAGCGTGACCTCACTCAGGAGAACATCGAGCCTCACCCAGGCCCGTTGTTAGGGAGGCGCCTGCTCTTCGGCCTGTTTTTCTGCTGCGTCGTCGGAGCAGTGCTTTGCTTTGGGCAGCCTGTTGACAAAGGCTCCGGGGGTGACTTTGGCAAGAACGGCGTCACCTGCGCAGTGTTTTGCTGTGGGCACGGGCCATTCAGGCACTACTGTGTTCTGCTGAGAGGTACCACGACTTCGTGAAAATTCGCTCCCAACCGAGGCTAAGCGCCGAGGACCCGTCAGGGCATCCTGACGTACTTTTTCAAACGAAGGAAAAGTCTCTCTTTGGCGATCCCACGAAGTGGCGGGATCCCCGACCCCCACGATTGTAGCGAATCGCGAAGAAGAAGAAATTAAAAAGAGAGAGAGAAAGGGAGATACGGAACAGAGCGAAGGGGAGATGTGCCTTCCTGGGGTTCGGATAGCTCGGGAGATTCTCAGGTTCCAATCGTGTCCGAGTCCTTGAAGTGTTGCATTAAAGTATCAAGTCGACCCGCAAATCCTGACGGCGTGTATGCCTGACGGCGCATATGAACCAACAACATCTAGCAAAACCAGCACGCAAGCCAGCCTCAGCGAAACCTAAGCCACAGCACTTCCTCGTGAGAACTCAGGCGACTGCAGCAAAAGCTCCGCAAATGGTCAGGTTTACAGAGTAGATGCGCAGGACTGTTTCGCTTTGTTGATTTCGACATGCGCTTGGCGCACAGCAGGATGGTTTGAAATGCCTATGTCAGTTTGGCTTGGGTTTCGCTGGCACTTCGACATGGCTTCCTGCCATGGCTGACCCTCTGGGAGCCCTGTTTTCGGGTCGGGTGAGTTTGTGAGTAATTGAATAGTTCTAGTGTAGCAAACAAATTGGGTTCAGAGCATGTTACAGCCCTTTACAGACGTAAAAGGATATGACAACACTGTTCGGAACATCACGACAACGGCAATTAATATGGCATGGGCGTTGAAGAACTTGTTTTCGAGCTTAAGTTTTGTGGCGATCCCTTGGTTTTGATGCCCAGCATCTACAACTAATTTGCTGAACCCCTTCAAGCCTCAGCGGGCTTTACGGGTTGTGAACATAAACCTGTTGAGCCACCTTGAAAAATTCTTAATCCTGAACCCAAGTGCTTCGAACAAGCATGCCTCAACGTAAACGACATTTCTGCCACAACCTTGAAAGGTCATTAGAGACCCGCATTGAGTTTTTATGCAGTTCCGATGTCTACCTAGAATTCTCAGCCTCCAGGATCACAGAGAACAGAGAGTGCGGGAACTTGCTGTGTTCAGGCCCGTGGCGTTCTTCGGGGCTCAGGGCATGATGATGTTTTTTCCAGATTGTTTCGTTTTGATTGGCATAGGTATCAGCTAATCATGGTTACGACGATTGTGACAAACGCGTGGATTGTTGCTGCGACATGTTTTGTTGTTGGCTGCAAACTCTCGGATCAACATTCTGCTCGTGTGGATTGTTGCGGTGATGACTTGCAGCGTTCCTTCGGGGCATTCGGTTGCCTGGGGGAAACTTTCAGCCTTACGGATCCGCAAGCCTGAAACTGTAGACTGCAGGCTCGGAGTCGGAGAGACCCTGCCAGGAACAATTCAAGGAAGGCTTCGGTTACAACAGCCATCGTCTTCCCCTGGTTGCGGTTGAACTCCTGTTCATGGGTCGTAGTCGTAGTAGTCGCCGTCGCCGCCGTGGTGTTGGTAGGAGCAGCAACGGCAACAGCAGCAGAAGCCGCAGCAGCAGTGTTAGTAAGTAACTGCAAAATGCAACATCCACAAACTACAGCGGCAGCAGCAGCAGCAGCAGCAACAACAACAACAATAACAACAACTACAACCGCCACCACCACCACCATCACCGCTATCACTACCACTACAACACCATGCTGCCACGATTGGTCCACTCAAGCTTCACCCGCGAGGCATCTCGAAGAGGCCGAGATTCGGGAGGCCAAGGGTTGAGGGCTTCAGTGTCGTATAGCAGTGCCTGGAGTTTGCCCCTGATCCGGATTGCGGATCGCTTCTTATACGGTTGGAAAAAGGTCTTTGAAAAACTACACCAAGTTATGAAGCCAGTACGCGGATTCCAATATCAGACAGAGAGCCCCCGGAGCAGCTGCTGGCAGGTTGCGCGGCGGCTACAGTTGGTTCGCTACCTCCCGGGCGATGTAATCATCCGCCAGGGTGAGGCACCGAAGCAAAGGAAAGAAGGAGCTTTTTGTAAGCAGGATCGCAAGAGGGGTTTTAAAGTTTTGGTGTGTGAAGCAAGATCTAGTTGGATCCGTACCCCACCCTCAACTCTCCGACAGGAAGAGGCCTCGGAGTTCTTCATCGTCGACCACGGCCGCTGTTCAGCACATGCTCCTTGGCAATCCCCGGGAGCTGGGCTGAAGTGTGAGAGTTCGAGGTTGCAGTTTCTTGATGAGGACCTGGGCGCAGGATTCAGGTAGCATTCCCCAGCAAGTCTAATAATCATAATTAAATTGAATCAGAAGTTACATGATAATGACGGGTATCGACAGTAGCATTCGCCACAAGAGTCGCTAAGCAGCGGTCCGTGGAGCATAGTAAGAAAGGCAATTCTGGTAGCCGCAAACCGCAGGAGTCTCAGCTTTCAGAAGCTCTGCGCTCAAAGCGGAGCATCGAGTTTTTTCGTATGCAGAAAGTCTCCTTCTAACCAGGAGCCTTTTCGGGAATACATTGGCCCATTGGCCCTGAAAATTGCACACTCGTATCCCTTAAAGTTCCTATATGCTTACACCTGAATGTGCCCCAGAACCCTTTCCCCCTAAACCCACAAATTTCCTGCAGAGAGAGAGAGACAGGGGGCCATAAATAAAGACCAAAACCCGAAACCCTGAAACCCCAAAACCCGAAACCCTGAAACCCCAAAACCCGAAACCCTGAAACCCCAAAACCCGAAACCCTGAACCCAAAAACCCGAAACCCTGAAACCGATTGAGGTGCAGGATGCCGAGGGCATGCGGGAGGTCCGCGAGTACAGCCCAGGCCGGGAGCCCTAAAGTCGCGAGTTATACGGGGACTCTAGGGGGGGGGGGGGGTTACTACTGTAGTCGTTGGTACCATCATACCTAGACGTAGACTGTTAGAGGGCCTGTAGGGGGATACTGTCACTAATTATTCCGTAACATACTAGATTGCAGAAGAAGTAGTGATCGTGTACCCTACCCGTATAGTGACTAATCAAACTCAAAGTAGACTACTTCTCCTGCTATGTGGCATTGACAAGAGATCCGCCACTCATCTTGGTGGTATGGAGACCAAGGAAATTAATTCTCAAGAATGTGTAAAGATTGGTCCAGGATAGCAGCAGTGGTTGGTGACCACAGTACTCGCAGAGATCTCCATCACCTCAGCATCACCTTCATGACGAGCATCACCTTCACAGTCACCGTCTCGGTGTCAGGGTGATCTCGATGACTGTCAGTAACATCATTGCAGTACACTAACATGTCGAACAACAATTGCATGGAGTGGAATAGCACCAAATGTTGTAATCATGTTCGCCTGGTAGCAGCTGTGAGCATGATCCTAGTTAGCCACGAAACACCGCACCCCACACCCTGTTCACGACAGGCGAAGGTTTCGGCGAACGAGCGCTGCTCCGCGACGAGCCACGTGCTGCGACGGTTCTCGCCGACGAAGAGGCATGGGACCCTCAGAGGAGATTCATTCATGGAATCCACTTTAGTTTTGTTGCCAGGGTGTCACTCCGGCGGTCTGATTCATGTGATGTGTTAATCTTGTCTAACAATGGTTGAGCAATGTCAGCGGAGTCAAGCTTGGGGCCTGATTGCATGCAACTGGTAATCCTGGGGGAGTAGAAAGGTTGCGCATGAAGCCTGCCAAGCTGCACATGCACAAGATGCGAAGCAAGGCCAAATTCGCCTAAACTTGCCTAAACCAAGCATGCTTGGCAGGCAGCAGTCTTCCGGCGTCTCGGCCGCAAGTTTGAAGCCCTAAACGAACTGCCGTCGCACAGAAGTGTTCGTAGTTTTTCAGATACAACAACGTGAGTCTGACGATGCCGGCCATGATGATGAGGAGGATGGTGATGAGGATGAGGAGGACAGCAATATCAGCAGCAGCAGCAGCAACATGGTGAGTAGTTATTCGGAATCAGGGCTCGTACCCTAACGTAGGGGAGTCCATGCAACCAAGGCTACACCGCGACGACTTCGTGGCCGTGATTCGCGACCGAGACCACAAAGCACCTTGGCAGCACTGCCTCGGGAGTAGGCCGAGCAGTCTCTACATGTAAAGTTTCGGTATGAGGTACATAGCCATCCCGGAGATTCAGTGGATGTAAACCGATCCGACCCATGCCGCGAACCTTCGGCTTGTGACCGTTGTGGGGGCCCCGTGTGTGTGTGTGTGTGTGTGTGTGTGTGGGTGGGGGGTTCTCTTGGGCATGAGGTCTTGGTGCTTGGGAGTTTCGTGTCTGGAGGTTTGTAGGGAATACATACCCAAACTCTGAACCCTGGACAGCGGCCCATCCGTGACTGTAGAGAAAACCCTAGACCCTACACTGAGCCTGGAAGAGTATAAAGCAACCCAGCCTTTCTGTCCCGTCCTGACTAAGGAAGAGCTCATTCGGGGAGCCAAGCTCTTTGAGACCATGACAGACGAGCAGGCTTGCCTTTGTGAAGGGACATGGCGTATCACAGTTTCCTATACATATATGTGTATGTGTATGTGTATGTGTATGTGTATGTGTATATATATACACACACATGTGTGTGTGTGCATACATACACACGCGTGACTGCGAGTAAATATTATACAGAGAGAGAGAGAGAAGTATGCATATTTACCATAATATCACACACAGATTTGAATAGAGAGTGCATATATATATATATGCACTATATAAATGTAGATATACATGTGCATTAACATGTATGCTTGCGTGTGTGTGTGTGTGTGCGCGTTCGTGCATGTGTATGTGTAAGTATTTTTTCATGTGCATATATATATATATGTGTATGTGTATTTATATATAATACATACACATTTGTGTACGTGTTTTCATGTATGTATATTTATGTCCATATACACCTTTAGATATACATGTGCGTACATATGCACATGTATATATATATATACATTGATATACACATACATCTACATGTACAAAAATATGCATGCATCTGTGCATATGTATGTCTGTATATGTATAAAGGTATATGTGTATGTATATGTATATATATACATATATATATATACATATATATATATATGGTTGCTGTCGTTATGTATGTGTGGTATTTATTTGTTTATACATACATACATGCATACGTATTCATTTATTGTGCGGGGGTGTGAAGTTTGGGACAAGTTCCGTCTTCGTAAACGTCAGAATTCTTTGAGCGTTGTATTTAGTAAGGCCGGGTTTCACTTGGGCAGTTCAGAGCTATGAATCTTTTTCGTCGGCTTGCAGAGGAAAAGCCGCTGTATCCTCTTCTTGCTGCCGATACGTATGCCACAGTTTGAATTGGGGGGGGTCTCCGAGTTTAGATACGGTTGTACGAGGCAGGGAGCTGGACGCCACCTGTTCACGAGCTTTCCAGTACAGCGAAGGCACAAACCCAAACCTCAAACCCCAAATCTTCCCCGTACAACCCCATGCACTTCAAATCCCCTAGGCCCTAAACTCCTAAGCCCCGAACCTCTCAGGTGCATCAGCTGAGCTCTTTGCTCAAGATGAAGACCTTTAAGCCGCTTCGGCGGAGTTGTTGGTGGGTGTAAGCGATTGTGTGCCCAAGCATGTGCTGCTTGGGCTTGGGGACTTGGAGTGTCGGGTGCAGAATTTGACAAGGGTTGGAGCTTCAAGCACCAGGCACTGAAAGATAGGCCAAGACGACGACAACGAGGACGAAAAGAAGAGTTCCCTCAGCAGCCGACGGCAGCTAGTGGTCAATCTAATCTAGCAGAGGTATGAAGACATAACACATAATATATAGCATAGGATCACTATCCCGATTCGTTTGCGGGGGCAGAGCCAGGGCCGGCAGTGACATCATCAAGCAGGGCGACCCCGGTGCGGAGTTCTTCATCCTGGATTCGGGCGTGCCTTCGCTCGAGCGTAAACTGGGTGGTAAGTTTGCATCTGAAGCCAGCAGCTAGGTACAGGCTCGAGACCGACAGCAAACAAGCACCATGAAGGAAACATGCCACATCTCCCATTCCTCATAGCAACCGAGGAGTGCGTGGCTGTCGTTACATCTGGAAAGAGCAGCCAGGCGTGGACTCGAACAAAGGATAGTGCTTCAAACTCGCCTTTCCCCAAATCCCAAAGCCCAAGGCATCCCTGAATAATTGACACCCTGGAGAGCTTGAGAATTGAACATCTTAGGTCATGACGCGGTAAAACTCACAATGCCCCGAAACCCATGAAGACCCTCGGGCATGTCCAGACGATTCTCAAATCCTCGACGTTGCAAACATGAGCTGTAGCCCCTTGTTTTCGTTAGCTACAACATTTTTAGCTCACTGTCTATGTACTCCTGTGCAGCTCCTGCAGCCCTCAACTCCAAATGCCGGCCTGCAAAGATTCTCCCGGAACGGCAGGAGGTGATGCGCTACAGCGCAGGGGACCTCTTCGGCGAAAAGGCAAGGAAGGGTTGATGTCATGTCCGGATTTATGGGGATGGGGGATGGTGTGGGGTGAAGCATTCATGGCTCTGCAAGGGCTGGAGTGCTTGCGGCAGTTGAGGTTGCGATCGCGATCCGGTTTAAAACTCGCTTTCAGCTCCATATCAAGAAGTAGCTACGAGTCCCAGACCAGCGCTCCTGGGCCAAGGCCTCCACCATCTCAGCCTCAGACCCCTTTGAAATGAATTTCAACATAACAGACGCATGCCCAGAGCACGGGACTCCCGAATTGGCTTTAGGTTTCCTGCATGGGTCTTCGGCCCCTTTTGCTCTGAGGCGCTTTTGGAGTCCGCCCCACGCGGAGCAACGACGCCTGGCGGCACATACGATGATGTGAAAGACGAGTGTGAGGGGCCTCCGCGCTTTCGGTTGATTTGACAATCGAAGAATTTTAGTCTGAGGCTTTTGTGCGGGAACTTGCATTGCGGCTTGCTTGCCAGGCTACGTCAGGCTCAACTTTCTCAGATTCTCCCATCCATCACAACTCTCGACCCGCACCCAACTCGAAGTGTCCAAGGCCTGGGTTCAGCTTACCCTACATGCCGAAATCGGGACTTGCTGTGACATGCACAGTCAGACGGGGAGCACACCACTGTCGTGCAACCCTCAAGCCCTCTCGCTTAACCAGTTTCTCATTTATTTTTTTTCTGCTGCGAGCTGACCAGGATCTCCGCAGAGACGGACGTGGTGACATATACGTTCCTGAGTCTGCAGCAGTTCAGTTGGAGGAGGCTTAGAATTAGAAAGCCTATGTAAACCTCTGACAAACTAGAGGGCCTAGTTATTTAAAGGGACTGAATGAGAAAGCCTTGAGGCCTGACCCTTTGAAAAGGCGGCTTCTAGCGGATTCTAGCATCCAAACAAAGGTTCCTAAACCCTAAATCTGTTTCCATGAGTCCGATAGAAGGGAAGCGGCAAGCCCTGAGGGCAGAAAGCCCTGCAACCCACGGGCTTCCCAAATTCCAAGACTGAGAAACCCTAAACTTGCATAGATGAACAATCCGGAAAGACCCTTCACGGAGACCAACCCTAAAACTCTGAAGCCTAAAGCCAGCCTTCGCACCCTAAACTAAAGCCCGAAACCCTGTTTTCCAAAAAGGCCTTCCTAAAGCCCTTAGCTCCGAGCTGAGAGAAGCGAGGCTGACGAGGGAAGACTTCGAGGCAAAGATGGGGCCAATGAGCCAACTCAAGGCAGTGACTGGGGCAGTGGTAGCATTGTTACAAGTGCTATTGGTATGATTAGGTTGCTTTGTACTAACATGATAATGGTTGCCATGATTCTGATTGTTCCTACTATTCTTATTGTATCAATCTCTTTTGTTATTGTTGTTGTTCGCATCACGAAAGCTAGCTCTGTGGAGCTTGCGGGAGTTGTCGTTTTACTTCAGCAGTAGAGAATTAGGGGTGTCCACGCAGATGAGTGATTCAGGGGTACTACTAACAGGCGGCTGCGGTGTTGTATAAATTGGGGAGGAAGGGGTCCCTTGTTCAGCATGTTTAGACTGCTTTTGCGCAGTGCATACGTGTTGTCTCGACCGTGCAAGGCCGGCGCTTGTTTCTAGCAGCAGATTCGAGGGCAATTGGCAGGATGGCAAGGCCACGGTCATCCTGAGGGCACATTGTGACTGGGTGCATGCTGACAAGGACTGGGCCCAGCTTCAATCCAACCCGGACCGAGCATTCCGGCGGCTTTTGGCGCTGTCAAGGACACCTGGGGATGGGCCTCAGTGCGCGGGCCGGGTGGTGCTGATGCCACGATTGAAGGCTTGGTGCATCTTGAAAAAGACAAAGGCTGCCTCGGGCAGCAAACACAATGGACTACGTTTCTTCCTTGCCAATGTCTCCAAGGACCAGGCCCTCGACATACCTGAGCTCGCGGTTGATTGGTTTGATCGGCGAGATCAGGAAACGCGGCCGACCTACGCCGAGAGGTGCTCCCAATGCTACAGCCGGTGTCCTTTGGGCTTGCCAGAGGCCACAAGCAATTGGGCATCAGACGAGCGGCCACAACCGCTGACAAAGATCGCCCCCAAACAGCTAAGCGCAGGTGGCGAATCACTGGAGTTCCGCGTGACTGGAGCTGTGACGACGTTTGCCAATTCATTTTTGATTGGGGCGTTGATAGTGTCCACGTTGATGGGCGTATGCCGTGGAAACGGCAAACAGCGTGGACAGTCACTGCCGTAGCTGAGCGTGAAACTGACAACAAGGTCACTGAGCTCTCCTCGGGACCGCTTGAATCCACTCGTCTGGGATTTGGTCGATCGGCTGCTCCCTCCCGTGCTCTTCCCCTTGAGTGGCGGCAGCACTTCAAGGATGATGCCAAGGGGTACAATGGTGGTCGCAAGCCTACTGCTGCTCCTAATGTTGTCGCAAAAGGCCCCGCGACAACTGACGTCGCCGACTCTCCTCAGCTGTCCGACTCCGAGGACATGAGCGTGGATGGAGGTGGAAGCGGACAACGGCCCGGGGGTCAAAGCAAAATCTCCGGACCTGCCACCGAGGTCAGCTCCAAGCGCAGCCGAACCAATGGCATCAGGAGTGAGGAGGGAACTAAACTCGGGAGGCGGGAACTGTTTGTTCCATGCCGTCAGGGACGCGCTTGTTGCGCAAGGAAGGTCACGCAGAGAGTCAAGTGAAATCCGACTCCTAGCCTGCACGCATCTCAGGACGCATAGTGATCATTGCTCTGGCTTCTGGAAAAGCGATGCTCCTAGCTCTAGAGGTGAACGGGGTACCTCGCCGCCCTCGCCCATGATGGAGCGTGGGGGGGAAGCTTGGAAATTGCAGCTCTTGTTATCACGTTGGGCCAGCCGATATATGTTTTCCGAGGTGAAGCGGACAACATCACCGTTTTCAACGCCAAGGCAAGTGGGGCGCCGCTCGCTTTGTTCTTCCAGCAGCGGCACTACGAGGCCTTGGTTGGCAAGCTCACACCGCGACTTACAAGTCCTAAGCTGCTCCTGCTCCCTGCGTGACCTGCTGATCGCGGAGGTGGACGTGCTTCCTCCGCTGGTGGCCGTTCTCGCCTAGGTGGCTGCACCAACTGTTCCGGACGGCCTTCCTCGTTGGGCGGTCGAACTTGCGGTGCCTTGACTACTGGCTCTGTTCATGCAGCTGATGTGAACTGATGTGAGCAAGCCTCAACTTTCACAGGTCGTACTGGAACCAAATCTGCGGCCTCCACTGCCAAGCGCGAACATGCCTGACTCACCAATTGACGTGGACCCGGATGATGAGGATGGGTCTATACATAGACCCGTCCAAGCAGATCAAGGCCTCTGCGGCCCAGAACAAGAATAGCAACGAGCACTCTTGGCCGTGTCCTCACGCTGGATGGCTTGCCCAAAGCGCCCACGGTTATGAGATCTTTACTACCTGTTACCACCTAACGGCACATGCCGTCAATTTATTATTTTACACTTTTTGTGAAAATTTTGCGCAACCATTTTGCATAAAAGTTGCGCAAGTTTTCGTGCGATTGAAATACTTTGCAAAATATTTCCAAGCTTTTTTCTCTTCAATTTTGTGATGACTTCGTGGGATTATTGGCTTGTTTTGTGCATAGTTGTTTGCACTGTTTTGGCTTCTGTTGTGCTTGGTTTGGTTTAGCAGCTTAGCGATTGGCTTTGGAGGTGCATCAAGCGTGTCACAATTTCAAATCGCTTGCAGCTCTAGCTCAACAGTCTTTGTTGTTTGGTGGATAAGTGGCCGACTGGGCCGCCCAGCATTTGAACCGTGGTTGTCTGACTTCTGCACCTCCTGTGTTGACTCGGCTTGGTGTTTGTTTTTTTGGTCGTGGCCACGATGGGTTGCACGGTCTGGAAAATCTGGAAGCTGGGAGGGAGGGGGTGGGCTGGGTTGCAATCCGGTGTGTGTGCTCGGTGGCATTCTTTTCGTCGAATCGACCAGGTGTCGGGAGCAAAATTTTGCAAAAAAACGCACATTTTTGCAGTTTTATTAAAAAATAGATTTTGCACAAAAAAAGCAAAATGTTTGCTCCACCCGGGCCTGCCTGGGCTGCTGCCTATGGCATGGAAAAGGGCAAGCTGGGGTTGTTAAGTTTCCCGCTCGCAACGAGATTGGCCACTTTGCCGTCTTCAAGTTCGAGCTGGGCCATTACGAGGTCGTCTCCATGGATCAGAAGACGATTGCTGCTTTGTGGCTGTCCGCGACCCAAGCTAAGCCATCTCGAGGCTTCCAGCTTGCACCTTTCGAGTTTTGACGAAAAGTCCGTGGCCAACCGCGCTCCCTCGAGCCTGCACCTTTCGGCGTTGGCTTCGGCTGCTTAGGTGCGGTCTGGAGCTTCTGCAAGCCGTGCAGTTGCCGAGGGTGGGGTCACTCCTGGCTTTGACCCGGACGACTGTGAGCCCCCTCCAGCTCCTCCTGTCGGTGCTTTGCAGCGGTACTCCGAGTACAAGGTTGCGGAAAGGTATCGTTGACCATGCGAGCTCTGCCCCTTCGTCGCCCTTCGCCCCGATTGCGGCTCCATGTGCGAGCTTCGTTATCTACACACTGCAAAGCTCAGCACCAAGGTGCAGGACTTCCTGGAAAGAGCCGCATGAAGCTCGAGCTCTTTCGGGTGCTTGCCGATGGCGTGCCTGTTGACTGGAAGTGTCCTTTGTGCTCCTGGAGACTTCCTGCTGGCTCCCGAGGTCTGGTCTCCACAGCAGCCTTCGGAGCTGCTCGTGACAAGATCCGTGCCAAGAAGCATCGCCACCTCACGAGGGCTCAGTTCATGGCAAGGTCTCACCTCCAAGGGTCAGCTGCGTTTTTAGTGGTTCATGAAGGCCAGAATTCGCGAGCTGAACAAGGGCGTGGCTCGGAGGGTCAAGGACGATGTTGTGTTTGAGAAGGCCTGGGATTCGTTTCGGTGGCCGTACCTCGGCTTCAAGAAGCGGACAAAGCGCACTACCTTGTGCGTGAAGACCGCCTGGCGACGCAAGGCCTGTGGACATTGCACCCGCTTTAAGAGGCACCGCCGGTCCCATGAGAAACGCTGCGGCTCTAGCGCTGTCAACTTGGCTAGCCACCGCCGCAAGCTACTCGAGATCAAGAAGGAAGCCGCGAAGTTGGATCATGGACTCGATCGCCAGACCTTCGCGGATGTGTTCAACAACGCCCTTAGAACCCTTGGAGGCGTTCCGGCGCCATGAATCGCTACTATGAACACGGGCCTGGAGGCGGTCGTGAAGCTTGATGCTATCGCGACCTTCATGAAAAGTTTTGTTGCCGATATTTACTGCTTACAAGAAGTGGGTGTGAACAAGGCGAGCGGCCCTTCGTGGATTTCGGCTTGGAAGTCCAGGGGGCTTTATGCTTTTTTGGGAGGCGGGGTTGATGACGAGGTGTTTCGCACTTCAGTACTGTCTTCCTGTCCTGGCTACTTGGTACAGCTTGACGTGGCCAGCAGCCGGTACACGGCTGTTGTTTTCGAGTTTCAGTTTGAGGCGAGCATCAAGGAGATCGTCGTGGTCAGTGTGTACAGCTACTTTTCTGACAAGGAGGCGACTGCTGCTCTCATTGAGGCAATCATTTCGAGTTTGCGTGCGATTGCGATGGATTCGATAATTGTGGGAGACATGAATGTGACGGCGGACGAACCGCTGATGGCATCTCGAATGTCGACTGGGATGGCTCGCCTGTTAGGCGAGCCCTTCAAGAGTGAGGAGCTCCCTGGCACTGCTGGAGGCCGCCGACGCATCGATTACGGGATTTGGTCGGACGGCATTTTTCCTTCCGGTTTGGATCATCGACAAGGCATTGCCGACCATCTGTCGGTTCGCTACCTCTTTGGCTTCACTGCTCCTGCCACTTGCTGCGGCCCGTGCCGGTCCTCTCTGGGCACGACCTCCGACGACCTCGTGACCATCATCTTCGACAGGTGGCGGCCCGCGACTTGGAACTCCTGGAGGGGCACTACGGCTGGCTGGAGCAGGTTCCCCAGTGTGGCATGGAGGGCTTCGCGCAGCTGGTGCTCGACAAGACGGAGGAGGAAGCCAAGCAGGTTCGCGAGGCCGGGTTCGAGCGGTGGAGATCTTCCCTCAAGGATTCCACTGCTAAGCAATCTGCTTGGATCAAACGGCGTGCTTCGATGCGCTCGGGACACCTTTGCCCTCGCGTCACTGAAGTCTCCAAGTTGAGTCACACTGCAGTCCACCCCGCTGAGATCATTCGTCAGGCTGAGGAGGAGTGGTTGCGCCGCTAGACTGCGGACGATGTTTCATGTGAGGAGGTGGACTCTCTGCTCCGCCGTCTTCCCGAGATCCCTTCTGTTGAGGTTGAGGTCTCTTTCTCTGCAGCCAAACTGCTGAAGGCGGTTGGCAAGATGAAGGGCACGTCCGACAACTGGGAGGTGTGCCACTTCCAGGCTCTTCCTGCAGGGTTCTGGGAAGCTCTGGCCTCACTGTGGCAGGTGGTGCACTCTACTTCTTGTGTACCGCGGCGGTGGCGTGAGGCCCGAGCTTGTCTGGTTCCAAAGGCTGCTGGCGGGCACCGCCCCATTTCCGTTCTTTGCATAGCTTACAGGCTTGGTGCTTCTGTGCTTCCGCGTGAGCTTCGGAGGTGGACTGAACAGTGGCTTGGAGCTCGCATCATGGGAGGCTTCCATGGGCGGTCCACTCGCGACGTGTTCCTGAGGATCCTTCATGCTGCTGAGGATCGACTGGCCATGTTTGTCGGCGAAGACGTGAGCAAATTCTTTGACTCTCTGTCGGGCCCCCACGTTCTTCGCGTTCTCGAGCACTTGAAGGCCCCCACTGCCCTTGTTGGCTTCGTCGGATCCATCATGAAGGAGCAGCGGCGTGTGTTTTCGTCTGGTGGGCGCCTCGGCGCCGAGTGGACCTCGCCACGAAAGGTTCAGCGCAAGGTGACCCGCTCTCGCCTCTTCTCGCCGGCGCCGTGATGTGGGTTTGGACGTCCTGGGTTGCTTCTGACGCTGAGGCTGTCGCCTTCGTCGACGACCGAAGTTTCTGGAGTTCTTCTGGAGCTGGCTTGACCGCCGCCAAATTGCGGAGCGAGGAGGTCGACTCTGCGTTTCGGTTCCGTTGCGACCCCCACAATGCCCCACAAGTGCCAGCTGCTAAGGCTGGCAGTCAGGGACGTGAGATGGCGGAGGCTTTCGTCCACGACTTCGGGGCTTCGCTCAACATCCTCGGCGTCATCGTGGACATCGGCGGCATGGCGGCTCCTACGCTGGCCAGGTATGTGCATGACGTCGCGAATGTGCGGGTGCAGTGCATCAATGTGGTTGCGCACGGCATGCATGTGGCAGCGGTCCTTTCACCTTCGGACCTTGGTCATGCCTTTGCCTTGCTGGGCCGGTGCATTGGCAATGGCCTCCATTCCTGCGGCAGTGGCAGAGGTCACCAAGCTGGGCAACACCATCGCTGGTCTGCTGTCACACTTTGAAGACTTGAAGGAAAAGGACAAGCTCAGCTGGAACGAGATTTCCAAGGTAGTTCGTTCGAGGGGACGGTCACTATCAGCTCGTCCAGATCAAAGCCGGTCGTGCACTCCCCGACTGGCGGAATTAGGGCTTTTACCAACAGCATTTATCACCTATAATTATTATCTTCCTATACTTCACTTCTTGTTTAATTGAATTAAATATTTTTCAACTTATGTTTTATCTTTTTGCTCCTAAATTCATATCTTGGTCTTATTATTTGGTTCGTTACGCCTTGATCTAATTAAAGGAAAGGAAAAGAAAAGAGGAGCGTGGAAAGGAGCCCAGACTCCACCATTTGCATCCCAAAATCTATTATTTGCTCCATTTTTCCGTTTTTGGGGGCGTGATTTGATTAATAAAATAAACATCATGAACGCGGCTTTCTTTGTGCTTAATTTAATTTAATTAAAGCCGCAGATTTCCTTAATATTAATATAGCTCTAATATTTATCATCTAATCCTAGGTGTTACAAGATCCATATTATTCCTTCCTGTATTTGACCTAATTATAACCTCGCCTATATTCTTACCATTAGGATTATACCACGCGTGTTAATTTAATGAAATGGAACGAACTGGAGGATTTTGGAGATACAATTATTTTCTTAGATCCATCTTATAGGAGCTGTTTACCTTATAATCCAAAGACCAAATAATTAATTGTAACTCCCGTAATTTATATTATAAGTCTATTCTTTCCTTTAGATTTACCTTTATCATTATAGGAACACATTATACACCTGAGATCTACTGTAGGAATATTCTTGTAGCACATTTTAATTTATCTTATAGTCTTCCAATACCACCATTATATTTTTAGGTCATATATTTATAGGAGAGATTCCTGAAGATAATTGTAATGTAATTCCAAGTCTTTTAGGAGGTTATAGCTTACTTATAGTGAAATCTTATTATCTGAGGCGTTACGAAAGAACTAAAGTTTAATGAAAGAAACGTAAGGAAGAGTGACGCACGGTT